ATGATCAGAAAGCAGTGAGCTGGATGGTGGAAAATCCTCCAAAGCATGCTGTGCTATTTTGGCATTTGCGATATTTTTAAAGCCAGACTTACCTATTGGAATGCACCCAAACCCTGTCAAGCAGCAGGTCGCGGTCTTTTGGCCACACCCTTAGTAATTTCTTCCCACCCTGTTGTCAATTGCTGTGAGGGACTGGCATCCTTCCCTGCCTTCATCGCTTCCTGTGTTGCTGGTGGACAGGCTGTGCAAAGCCGAAACAATGTGACAACTCCGCAAGCTTGTCCCAGCGGCATTCTGCAATGAGCTTTGTTTGGAATAACCCCTGCAGTTGTGGATCTTTCTTGCTGTGACTCTTTCGCTTTCATTCTGCACATTTAAAGGTGTGAGTCAGGTGCTGAGACGCTGTGGCTGGCTGAACACACTGCACATTGTGAACTGCACTGGCCCCTTCGGTAACGACTTGGTAGAAGGCTTGCAGGGCAAGTATCGGAGTGGCCTTAAAGAGCTCCATCTGGTGTGGGGATCAGTCAATCTATCTGCCACCAGTTTCCAGGTCTTGATAGGCACAAGACGCCCAACTTTGGAACGGCTGGAGCTGGTTGGCTGCAAGTACGAGCGATTTGTCTGTTTGCTGCTGGTGGACTTGTGCAGTTTGCTTCTTGCAATGCGCTTGCATATCTGCTCTTTCAGCTTGAAAGCAGTGTCCAGTTGGCCTTGAATGCAACAGGAATATGGGTTGTTGCAATCAAGCAGATGGCCACATCCTCATAGGGGAACTTGTACTTTGCTGATACCTGTGGCATTTATTTGACAGGCATCACATACCTTTATTATTGTGAAGCAGCATATGTGTCATCTGGATTGTCCATGAGTTTGGCACAATATGAAAACTCTAATGGTTTGAAGCAATTTGGAGTTGTAAAAGGAATGAAATGAACACAAGAAGAACATGGCACCTGTTTTGTGAGATATGTGCTTGCTCTCCCACAGTTTCTCTTCACAGTTATGTGGAATTGCTACAAGGGAATGCAAAGGCTCAGCAGATTCTGTGCCTTCTGCTCTGTGCTCTTAACAGGGGAATGACCAATGACCATCTGGCATTCTTACAGCACACCCATGCGGAAACTCTTCACACTGTGAGGCTTGAGAACTGCACCTGGGACAGGTGCCCCACAACTCACTTGCAGCATCTTGCGACGCACAGCGCTCTTGACTCTGGTCAAGTTGCTGAACGTGCATTCCCTTCAGCATCAACGAAATCCTGCTCATGGCTTGAGGCACCGGAAGCTGGAGATCAGTGCCCTGGTGGGGGCAGCAAAGGCACCTCCCCCAACCAGGGCAGTTCTGACCACCAGGCAAAAACTCTACCCATGCGGCAGCCTTCGTCACAAGGGGCGAACAAGATGCGTGCATTTGACGAACAGCACTTGGCGAAGCTCCTGCTCGCCTGCCCCCGAATGAGGCATGTGCAGCTGCGGCACTGCTGCCAGCTCAGCAAGGGCATGGCAGCCAGGCTTGCTACGGGGCTTCCGTTGCTGGAATACCTTATGTTGGATCGATGCGATGTGGTGGATGGGAACTATGACCTGGTGCCCATGGGCGGATATCACCCCTTGCAGTATATTCAGGTGTGTTCCTAGCCACCTTCTCTTTGCTTGTGTTTGCAGGTGCTTTGCTGGCTCATTATTCAATGCTGCTGTGGCTGAAGTTGCGAGCACCACTGCCTGTAGCCATCCTCCATTCTACTGTACTGATATGTCTCGTACAGTGCTATCATATGTATAGACTGGTTTCAAGCAATTTTCAGCCTATAGACCAAAATTGGCATACTCTTGGGATGGGCAAAGGGAAGGCAGGTTGCCGGTGTTGCCCTCGGTGAACAGGGTGGGTGACCCATTGCATGCACGGATTTGGGAAGATTTTACTCCGGACAAAATTCGACACATGAAGTTTAAAGAAGCGCTGACACTGCAAGCATCCTTTGCATGTACCTGAAGCTTTGCCAAGTGGCAGCTGTTGCCGCCTTGGTTCCATTGACACATCTTGGCTTAGTAAGAACTTTGTGTTGGTCTGCGGTCGCTGGCATTTGTTTTGGTGGGTGACGTCAGTTGGTGGCAAATTGTGCCAAGCACTTTCTGGTTACTCAACTTTTGCAGGTGGCTCGATGCAGTGAAGCACAACCCATTGCGAGACACCCTTGCCTGGATGTGAATGCCCCTGAGACTGTGGCGCAACGCAGATCAGACCTGGGCTCAAGTGTGCACGACCTGCTGCGAGGTCTTTCTTGCTTTGAGTCCAAGTCCTTTCCATAGCCCAGCGGGCTGGGTGGGTTGCAAATAGGACGGACAGAACGGAAATTGGGAGAATGTTTTCCTAAACCTGTACAGTTGGAGGTAGTAGGGTTAGGTCGTTGTTTGTGCTTGTTTGGTTTCAGGAGCAGTGGCGGAGATGCTGCAGCTGATCGCAGTGCCTCCGGAAATTGTACTGGGTGCTCGTTGGGGCCTGCGTGCGCATCATGCTGGGCCTTGGCGAGTAGGATTTGTACACTGTCGATGGGATGCGGGGCAACGTTGGGCTGAAGCTGGGCGCTGAAAGCGGACCTCTGAATACGAACAGCCACAGAAAGCGATAGAAGACCTGAATTGTAAAAAGGAACTGGTCGGTTTGGATTGGCTCGCTGTTGGGGAATTTGCCGCCACATGTTCTCCAGCTTGTGTGGGAGCGTCATTGACTTCCAAGGTAGTCTACATACCCATATTCCGATGCATTAAAAACATGACGATGGCGTTGAAAACGAAGAAATTGGCGATGTCTGAGAATGTGTACGCTGGCATTGCGAAGAGAAAGAGTGACAGCAATGCTGTCCGTTGGAGAGACGCACCAGCGGCTTTTGCTGCTCTCGAAGGCGTTGGGAGCTGCTTGGAGGCTGCCTCAGCCGCCGCCAACGCGCCTGCACCAGCGGCCAAGGGGATCCATGTCCTGCTGGGGGGCAAAGCTTCAACTCGTTAATATAGGACAGAAGCATTCCTGATAGCACCATCGAATGTGGACCGAAGTAGCAGTAACTGGGAAGACGCAAATTGGTGAGCTGTCATCAGGTGAGAAAGAGGACAGTCGACAGGTAAGCGGCAAGGCCAGAGTCGCGCTGCGCTGTGAATTCTGTTTTTGTGGACAGTGGTATATTGTTCAGTACTTCACAGTACTTGGTTGTGCTAAATTGTCCTGAAAACATGTTTGTGTTCAAGTAGGGATTAGCGCTGCAACAACATTTCTGGATGCTCCTTCCCTTCGGCGTGCTGCACTCATGGGATGCAAAGACGCCCACGCAATCACATTCACAGACTTCAGCTGCGGACCGAATTCCGGTCGTGCAGGTGTAGTGCGACTGGTGCAGCAGTTCGCCTACACAAAATCGTGCAGAACTCCCTGGCGTTATTTTCGTGCGAGCGAGACCCTCCCCGTGTTCCACGCTGATTGTTGGTGCTTGATCTGCACCCAAATGAACGACAACTGCGACTATGTGCAAGACATGGCGCGTATCGGTGTTGCACGTATTTCTGTGTTCTACCAAATTTACACCAGTAGAAGTCTGTCCGGCGCCGAAATGATATCGACATGTCATTTGGCGACGCCAACGCGCCCTCAATTTTACACACTACTTGGCGGTTGGACGGAGGCCAAAATGTTTCATTGCATGCTCCTCTAGAATGAGAGCGAGCGCCAGCAATACCGTATCTGTGTATCGCCATCGTCGTCCCGTCAAAAACAGGCACGTGCCTTTGTCCGCGCAGACACCTGTCGAGCGCAATTTACGATGGCACACATTCTCTGGATGGGCCTTGGTCCCTACGACACGTGGCGTTGCGCCTTTTTGTCCCTTGCAGGTGCAATCGCCGTGTGCAAAGGTGGATGTCCTCTCAAGAAGCCAGCAGACTGCATCGCCCTGCCTGCCTAGTTCACGAGTCTATCGCTGGGAGGAGGGCTGCAACAAGGATGTACAGATCATGCCGCATCCGCACTATGATTTGGCCCACATGTGCACTGCACACCGGTTGTCTTTGCCTTTCGAAGGCAATCTCAAATTTCTAACTATAGAGTTCAGTCAAGGGGTCCAACTCACCGTTGGACGCCGTGGAGGGCAAGGGACGCGGCGAGGGAGCCCGCAAGTCCCACTCCCCCTCCTCCCAATGGCACATAGACGTATTGGCGCAGCCACTGAGACCAAGACACGTGGAAGCTGCGCATGAAGCGCCGGCAGGAGACGGTTACCGCCGTTACAAATTCCGGGGCGTCGTCGACGGGTTGCAGCCCTTGCGCCATGGCGCATATGCGGGACAGGCTCCACGGCAGGGCGGACTCCAGGAAGGCCATCCATGTGAGGGCGTGCGCGAATACCCACGATTCCAAAAGATTCATGGGCGGCCGGCTGGGGCCAATTAGGATGGCGGAGGGTCGGTAGAACGTACGCAGCGCGCACTCAACCAGCGCAATGCGGGCGAGCAGCTTCATGAGTTCGAGGCACATCCGTTTGGGGGGGATTGGACGCGGCTCCGCGGCCTGGAGGCGGAATTCCTTGTACGTCATCAGCGGCCCGCACAGGTACAGGGGAAAGTACAGCACGTAGTCGGCAAAATCAAGGGCGCTCTGAACTTTGGATTCGTCGCACGCAGGCCGAGACGGCAGGGAACCCATGTCGAGCGCCTCGCCTCCTGAATGGGACCCCAGCCCTTGTGGCGAGCCAGCTTTCTTCCCACCCTCGATAATTTTTATCGATTTCGATTTGGAGATTTTGTAGATCTTTTTGCGGGGATCAGCCTCGAGGGAATCCAAGCAGAAACTCAACGCCCTCATCAAAGTGTATCGAGACGTGAATCGAACGTCGAACATGTTGCGGCGATCGTCCCCGAAGCTGCGGAAAGGAATGCCAATTTTAGGGGCGGCCATTGCTGCATTCTTGAATGCGGCAAATTTGCTGTATTAATGCAATAATTTTATGCCCATCTCATTGCCCGAAGTGTCAACTTCTCCTGGTGGAAAATGGCACGTGCCATTTACGTACACCCTGAACAGGTCGAAATTGACCTTATTCGGTTTTCATTTCGGTTGTTTAAAATAATTATAAGCCAGGCTCGCTTATCTTGCTCGACAGCTCAGTATGTACATCAGTTTGGTTGTAGCAACAAAATACTCCAAACTACGATGTATTAATACATTAAAAATTCCATCGACAATTCTTACTTACAGTACATTTGTAATATACGGTATTTTCGCTTACAAGACGTTCGGCCACAAGATACAGAGGTCTTGTCCTTTCCTTTAAAACGGCCATAGATACATACAGAGGACTCGCCAATTCCATGCGAAAATCAATGGTGCCGCAAGTACTAATTTACAACAATTTGACGCTGGTTCACAACCCACCAAATTTCCATCGCCCCGAGCAATGCGGCGTGCCACGCATAGCACACGACTCGATTCCAACTTGTCCGCTTCCCTTTACAGGCATTTCGTTGACGCGATAAAAGCACATGGAGGGCGTATGACAGCAAGGCCGCTCCCATTGGATATAGACAACGAGACCCTTGGATGGCGAAAACGAAAGCTGCAGAAAGCGACGCCCGCAGGGCGCGGGCTGCGGGTTCATCATTGTACTGCGTCGACATGATTTTCACATGCAGATTTTTGCTTCCATCGCAGTGGGTTGGTGGCGGATTACCTGTGCAAATATTTCAGTGAGGCACTCTGAATTGGCAAAACAGCCTCTGCCTTCTTGGTGCCAGATTGGCATGAACGCATGAGAGTGAATCATTCACTGCCGGTGGGCAACTTTTGTGAAACTCCGTGGACTAAATTTGCAGAAAATTGTCAGAAGAAGTTCCCTCGTTCTTTTTAGTCGTCCTGTCCAGGGCGCACCCATTTAGTCAAAGCGGATGCAAGGCCAAGGTGCTAACATTCATCAATGGGTGTCGCTGACTCATAAGCCACGTGAAAACCTTCCGCAGAGGGTGACTAAATTGTTCTGGGCGTCTTCTTCAACGAGCCACCTGTTGTGAGGCACTGTCACCGACTGGAATTCACTCTATGAGAAGACCGTAGACGCCCCCTGCTGTACAGCGGAGGAATCTTGCGGCGTTCCGCAACAGAGTGTGCCAAAATTTGAACATGTGGCGGAAGTCGTAGATGCATGTGCGAGTGCGCAGTGCGCCACACGTACCCGCATCTGCATGTAATATTCGCATGCACATATTACATGTCTTTCCGGCTTGAAACATGGAGTATATATACCAAAATGTGGTTGCCACAGTCTCATCCATTCGTCATATGGCTGCGCATTCTTGTGCCCTTCATCGGCCTTATATACAAAAGTGAAAATTGAGCACACAAAACACATTTTTGATCTTCGCACACCTGCGGATCTGGATCACCACGGAGCAACGTGTTTCGGGCTTTGCAAATCGACGAAGTCGATGCTGCGACTCGTGCACCTGTTTCAATTTGCTCACCTGGAACATGAGGTGCTGCGTATTTGCTGCAAGAGACAGCACCATCAGTCTTTGTTTCCAATGCTGGGGAATCTTCGTTTCTTAAGCTGTGCTGGGAACCCTGCATGCACAAAAAGGTGCGCTCTCGATGTTGCATCTAATGTGTGTGGCGGTCCTGAATGATTTCAGGGTTGTGGCAACTTCTGGCCGAATAATGGAATAGTTTATGATGAGGCGACACGTGGCTCAAAGCAACGCTGCAATTGTGATTTGGTCGCAGGGCCTGGAGTCGCCAGCGTCGGCATGCATGCACTCTCAGTGGAAACATATTCCGTAATGCCTTTTATTCTTATGCCATAAATGCATCCACATTGTACTTCTGAATATGAGGAACAAGAGGCGTGGCAGTTAGTGCCCGCTGACGAAATGGGTGAAAAATTGGTGTTCAGTACTTTGGTGTGTTGTTTGACCTAAACAGCGCTAATCAAGCTGCCTGAGATCCCCGTCATTTTTGTGCGTGGACTGGAATGTGATTCTAATTCATGGTTTCAGGGTGCAAATGCAACGTAAGCCACGGTGAAAATCATTATCACCATTTTGGATAATTTCCATTTGCTTCCATTTTCCTTTGAATGCGTGTTAACTTCCATCCAGAAATCGGGAGTGAGTTACAACAACGTTGATGGGTATTGCTTCAATTAATTTGATGATGCCCTTCCTGTCAATGCTGTTGCAATGCTCATGCACCAGCGTCTTACAAGCAACAATAACCGTCATTTTGATGAAATTGGCGGTTGCCACTTTGTTGGAATTCGTACCCCGTTAAGCTCAATGGCATCAGGGCCAAAATGCAGATGGGGAGTCGATGCGCAAGGCTTGCAGCAACATTTACAGGAAGCGCTTCAGCAAATCGTTGCGGCAAATACCCATCAACGCTTCTGTTACTACATCTCAATTTCCAGCTGTCGTTGTATTTAATAAGTAACGATGTCAGTAGTGTATACTACCACATGAGACATTTTACTCCACAATTTTCCCATTTTTTAAGGTTATGTTAACATTGGCAGGAAATTTGTACTTGCCACTCACTCTTGAAGACAGGACTCTTTCCTGCAATATCGTGATCACCAACAGCAGAATGGAGAACACAATCTGACTGGGCGCTACGACGGACAGCCACTGATTGTAGCGGATGTGTGAGCCGTCTCGAGACCTGCCTGACACAAGATCATAATTGCAGCGCCTTTGAAAATAGCATCACAAACGCAGATAGCATCAAAACGAGGTTAATTCTGGTCAAGTCATACGAATTTTGGTTGCATATATATCCTTGACCAAATGGTTTGATGCCTGAAACGCGCCCGGGATTTCTGTGGTGCAAGCGGCGCAATCAAGTCCATCGCCAAATGCGCTTGCTTGCACGAGCTTTCTCTCAGTCCTCGCCTCGGTCAGCACGTACCCACAAAAGCTGCAAGGAAGCTGCCCCGAAGCTCTGCGGAAGGATGTGCCACCTCTGCTTTTCGCGTTATGCGAAACAAAGTCACTGCAATCGCAGCAACGGATACAAAACGAACAGAAATGTAGGCCACGCTTTTATTTCGAGGGGGCGGCGCCATGGCGGCGATGAGTACTCTGGCGCAACCCTTTGTGGGCCAGTCAGCCCACCAAGTCGGCTGGCGCTCAGTCCGCAGGTTTGCCTTGCCAGGCGACTGCGGTGGTGTAGCTCACGAGTTCCGAATGGGGGGCCAGTTGCTTGGTGGAATCTTTCAGACGGGCATGTGGATTTGGAGGCCCGGTTGATTTTGTTCTCTCAACGGACGTCCCATGTGAGGAGAAGGACGTCCAGCTTCGGTGCCACCTCAATTACCTATTTCGCCGTTGGACAACAGTCAGTGTGGTATGTTGCACGAAGTTTGAAAGCACTGAATATATCGCTGCAGCATTTCAATGTTGCCCATCTTTGTCAGTTCCCAAATACAAGAATTGATTGTGTGAAGCAGGCACTATGTTTGTACTTGGCCTTTCCATCACGTTGGATGGCGATGCATTGAGAATCGCGATATGGTAAGGTCAGATGAGCAATGGTGGTGCAAGCAGTCGGGTGTCATTTTCACCAACATCTCTGACAAATGTCGATTTCTTTATGTTCAGTATTCAGATTTCACACATCCCAAAAGTCACGAAAGCTTCAGTGTAGGCCATGCGAGCCCATACGCCTGTTATACATGAAAAGTACGCGTAATATCCATGATAAACGAGATCACAAACACAGTGTGTATTATACACATGCCGCTATGGAATCAAACCGGCCCCATGGGCCCACAGCGGGGGCTCGCGCAGGAGATGCCCAAAATGTACCTGATTCGTCAAGAAATTCTTGAGACCATTCGAATTAGAGAATTGCAGCTGCCATCTGCGTACAACAGAAAGATCTATTCGCCACGGCAATGCATCACAACGACTTGCGCCCCACTTGTGCCAGAATTGCTTCTTGAATGGCTCAAGCTTTCGGCCTGTGTTGACATCCCCCATGAGTGGCGGGCCAGCACCTAAGAGAGGCCCATAGAACATCGGGTCGAGAGTCCAGGGTTCCGATCTGTACTCACCCAAACAACAACATACGGCGCGGCGTCCGCGCGGTGACGTAGACATCAGGAGAAGTGGTCGGGTGGGGGCTGGATGCGGTTTTGCGGGTGGGTAGCGTATACGTATTCCTACGTAGGAATTTGGGGACGGGGATTCCTGACAGGCGTCCGTTCGACGTTTGAATGTGACAAAAATTAACGTCCGCCGCAAGCTGCTTCAGAATGAGCTTAACCATCGCCACATTACTTAAGCGCGACGCAGCGCTGCTCTGATTCAAACGTAACCAAATCGCACGCTGACAGCTGCCAGCTTTGGACTATTCTGTACCGTTTTGTTCCACGCCAACGCTCTTACAAGCTCCAGCAATTGATGGATTTCCACTTGCACTGGAGGTGCCGCCATCAGACAGGGAACGTTACTCCCGAATGTTCTGCCTGTGCCGAAGCTTCGGCGGGAACAACAAGCCCTTGGTCTTGACACATAGGCATTGTTCAGCCAATCAAACAGCCGCTGCCACGATTTTGATCTCGTGATGGGAATGCTGGGCCTTTTTCAAGAGAAGCGGCGGAGCAGCCGTCCATCTAGAAAGGAAAAATTTTAGTGAGACTAAGCCGATGTCGCTGCAAAAAGTGTGCATCTTTTCGCCTCTCATGGCTTTAGAGCCAGATCTGCAGCATGTGTAGACCTAAAATGACGTCATTTTGACAGCATGAGCAATTGCTTGGCAACCTAGGTGCCGGCTATTGGTCGCCCATTCCTCACAGCGACGTAAACGATTCTGTCGATATTGCACCCAACCTATTACTTACCCTACCTATACTCTACTTTTTTACAGCCTGTCTGAAGTACATCAGCTCTAACGCATACTACGCAATGCCATTCGACACGGGAAATTTGTGACTTTGAATTAACAAGTGCCGTGATGAAAATGTAACCACAGAAATGTTGAACAAAGCAACGAATGCATTGCAAATACCACACGAATAACGAGCATGTGTGCCATAGTAAAGAAGCCATTACCAACACACCAGATTCAAGGCCGCCATAATAGAGGAAGCACGACCACCTCACAGAGCAGCTGCAGCCTGCGAGCGGCACAATTGTTGGTTAACTCTGGTCGGCCGATGGAACCACAATTGCATGTCTAGCCGTCTCACGCACAGCGCTTCATCCCTCAAGATATGTCCAAGCCATGTTCAAACACAGACAAGGAAAACTATGTCTAGCATGCCACAACTGCACTGCATGACCCACGCATCGATAAAGTTGTCCCCATAAAGTTGACATCTGATTGATGCTATGCTACAGGCTTGTGACAAAAGCATATATATGGACTGAAGTACTCATAGCTAAGCCCATCTACGGCTTTTGCATGCAATTATGCGTGTTTGTGCGCCATGTGGATCTACACGGCAGGCCGGCTTTGCATCTGCTGATTGACTGTCTTTCTCGCTCACTATGCCGCCCACAGGGTGATTTGGGCCAACCGTCCTGCACAATTTGAAGTTCAAGTAGCTGCTGACGTTCGAAGTTGGAACATCAAACCCGAAAGGGCCACCTGCTACTGCTGCGGTCTACTCGTGAACGGCAGCCATCGGAACGCAGTAGAGTGCATGGAAACGGCAGCCAGGCGCGGTAGTGTGGGCACAGGACAACCGCTGGTCCGAGGACATCGTTGCCATGTGCGAGGGAGATGTGGGCGCTGTGTTGGGCTGCTCGAGGAGGCGTCGGGATAAGCTTGGACTATACGTATTGCACGTAAGGTATGCATCAATGCTCATTCGACTTGTATATTGAGGCAACGTATACCTGCTTTTTTAGGCTCCACGGCTACGTGGTCCATGACCTACAGGCCTCCCAGGCAATGGCACCGCTGGGGCTCATATTGAAGCCTGCATTGGATGTGGGAACGCCGCGGTGCAAGTTCCTTTCTTATATGAAGTTCTTTTCTTTCATTCTTTCGTTTATTTCTTTTATTCTTTTATTTTGTTGGCGCCGAATGTAACCTGATCAAGTCAGGAGGTTGTTGGGGAAAGCAGCAGCGGTTGCGGCTTTTCTTGGCTTGCGCCCATCAAGGACCATGACGCTCTCCTTAGAGGTCATGTCTCAGCGCGAAGAATTGAGCTATTTGACCATCCGTCGCGCCAAGAAATGGCCTCCGAAAAGCACCAGAATCCCCTCGCCCCCCGGCGCGGTGGCCAATTTGAGTCAAGCGTGACGAAACGGTCCTGGTGTCGCCCCAACGTTGGCAGGCACGGCAAACGCAACCACAGCTACCGTCATAACGCCACCCGCAGGGGGCCCTTCTGGAATGTGCTCCGCAACTCGGGACCCTTCGCCCCTGCCAAGTCGCGGTCAACGCGCCACAAAACATGGCACAACCTTTATGTAATGCCGCCTGGCGGTGAGGGGGATTTAAGCCCGCCCCTTCGGCACAGGCAGGGAACCGACAGTCCGCGCGGCCAAAGACTCTGCGACCGGCAGCTTCAGCCGCCCCAGCGATGGCGTGTCCAACCGCCCCGACAGCCCTGAGGGCCATCCGCAAGGTGGGTGTTGGCCCGGATTTGATGATTCCCGCTTTGTTGCTGGTTGCGCACGGAACGCGCCCTGCACGCCTTCCACGTCCGCTCGGCAAGGTCTGTCGCTGTTCAGGCGCGCCGGAGGATCGGCTTGCCATCCCGCAGCCGCGCGGAAAGGCGGGATTCCTCGCGTTTGCCTCGACTGCCCCATGGGCTCGGCACCGGTGTCTCACGCTTGCGACCTGTGTCGTTTACCGGCGAGCCAGCGAACCATGGGCGCCCGGCTCCGGTCAGCCAAGGCGCGAGATGCACCGACTCCTGTCGAACATCGCCGCGGGGAGTCGCGCGTGGGCAGCCCTGCCCGGCCGATTCCAGCGCTGCGCGGAACAAAACCTTGTCATGCAACCCTTCTTTTTTGGAATTCCAATGTATTACACGAGAATGTAGACTAAGGATCTCCCCCACAAAATGTGGTGTTGATGGTAGCAAAATGAGTGAGCGGGTCCAAGGTGGCTGGCTGTGGGGAGCTGCTGGGTGCCTCCTTGCCTCCATGTGTAATGCTTCTCGGGTGAACGACTGGCTGTAAATGATCGTCCGTTGTGCGTGTCACAAAGAACACGGCAAAGCACTGCGCTCGGGCCTGTCCGACAATGCCGGGCATTGTGCGCGGCAACGCACAGTGACTGACCTGGACGCCTTCCTGTGGCGCAGGTCGTCCAAGGACAGTCGCTGATGGAAGGGGCGGGAGTGAGGATATGTCGCACGGTGAGATTCGAAGCGCCGTTCAAGTAATTGTCCATGCGCGGGTCCTTTCATTGCTGGCGTGGGGAAATCATTTCCAGGCGCCCACCTGCAGTTCATGATGCGGAACCGGGGTGTCCATGATATCTGATGCCAGTATACGACTCAAGCCGTATTTCGCGTGCATACTTCCAAGCTAGTTTGGTCGCATCCGCAGCTTGGTGTCGGCGAATGCAATGGACTAGTGGCGTGTCTGACATGTTTTCGGCCGCCTTTGGCAGATGTCATCTTTCCATGTTCAATTTGCCATTGGTGCGTATCTCAACGTTTGGAAACAGCTGCGAATTGAAGAGAAGTTCAATGCATTCGGAGTTCACATGTGTCTGACAGTGCGTTAGACGCGTGAGTCACAATGCGGCTGACGGCAGATTGTCAAGGGAACGTACGTTTTTTGTCGGCCAGTGGAGTCTTGCATTGCAAGCGTCGCGCAGAAGACGAGGCACTGTGTATGCTGTACGGATCCGTACATCGTACATCGTACACCCGTACTACGGATATCGACACATCGGGGCCTTTTTCGTTGCATACTGATGCAGATATTAATTAGACTGTGAGAATGCTCAAAGTAATGCCGTCGGAATATTTGAATAGAGCGATGAAGAATAAATATTGGTTGAAGTTGAGGTCAGTTTCTTGGCGATCTGCAGGTTGGCACCCACGAGTTGCGCAACCTGGACCCCTACCTGATGCTCGACGAGCTGCGGCTCCCGGCCAGCGAGGCCACGGCGGGGTTTCCGGACCATCCCCATCGCGGCTTCGAGACGTGCTCCATCATGATCTCGGGCAAGATGGAGCACAGGGACTCCGCGGGCAACCACGGCGTGATCGGCCCCGGCGGCGTGCAGTGGATGACCGCCGGGCGCGGCATCGTGCACTCCGAGATGCCCAAGGTCACCAGCGGCGACCTGTGGGGCTTCCAGCTCTGGATCAATCTCCCCCAAAAGGACAAATTCGTGAAGCCTCGGTACCAGGACTACCAGGCCGAAGAGATCCCGGTGGTGGAGAAGGGCGGCCTGACCGTGAGGGTGATGGCGGGGGAATCCTACGGCGCCACGGGGCCGATCCAGATGCGGAATCCCGGGATGCTGCTGGACGTGCAGTTGGCGCCGGGGGCGGAGTTCAGTCAGCCCATCCCCAGCGAGTGGAGCGGCTTCGCCTACGTGTGCGACGGCTCGGGCACGATCAGCGGGACCCGGGGGTCCAGGAGGCAGGCGCTGGTGTTCGGGCCCGGGGACCACGTGCAGGCGGCAGCGGACGCCGGGGAGAGCATGCGCTTCCTGCTGGTGGCCGGCAGGCCCATCAACGAGCCCATCGTGCAGCACGGACCCTTCGTCATGAACACGCAGGAGGAGATCCGCCAGGCGTTCGTGGACTACCAGACGGGCAAGCTGCAGAACCCGGAGGACAACCCCTGGGAAAGTTGATGGCACTGGGAAGGCGAAGGGCAAGATTGTCAGAAAGGGAAAGAAACGGGTCGTGTGAAGGGTACGCCTCCTGGTCAGTGTTTGCGGGGCTTAGAAGTTGGAGGGGAATGTACGAGTAGGGGGTCCTTCGTGCTCTACTTCGCTGGGGGCGTCTTTTGTTCTGCAGGGGATTTGAGTCGCAAGGGGACGGGGCACGCTGCCCTGGCAGTGGGCATGGCTTGGGCGAATGAGCAGTCGGAGGAGGATTTCGACCGGGCAGGGGAGGACGGGCGCAGGAGGACGTCATGTGAACTTTTGCGGATGCTTTCAAGCCCTAACGCCGTTGGGGAATTGCGCATTGAAAGACTAGCTTGGGGTTGACAGATCATGTATCGCTGGGTCGCAAAGCAGTGTAAAGTTGTTTCTGTTGCTATTCACCCGGCTGAGGAAGCCTTTGGGCTTGGGCGTCACGGCAGCCACTGTGGACCCCCGAGGGCGGGAGCAGTACATCTATGAGTATGGTCACAGCGCCATAACATTTGTGGTCCCTTAATCTCTTTTTGGTTTCAATCCGCCGTAATTGAACATTCGCATGTTGGAGGCTTTCGGCATTCAATCCCAGTCACAGGCTGGATTGCTCCAACCATTGGTTGGTGCATACCGGCCTGTGGCTGCTCTTATTTGCAGTGACATGGGGGGATCATTGTCTCCAAATTTGCAAGCAATCGCAGGCTGGATCGTGAACTAGAAATGCGGATGCATGATTTCACGAACCACAAGTGAACAAACCCACAAATGTATCCATTTGCAGCTGCAAAGTTGCTCGCGTGGCATGGACATTGGCGGATCTGGGAGTCGCACCCCGATGATATGCAATGTCCGCCGCGCAGCAGCTAGCCTGCTGATGTGCCGAGCGAATTGTCCATAATCGCCTTCCTCAAAGATTCGCTCAGGCCCTGATTTGAACAGCGAGATCTGATGCGAGCATCACAATTTGGGCACAAAGGCACGGGCGTAGGCGTCCTGAAATGGGTAAGAAGGTTATTTCTTTGTTGGTTGACCCTGCGCTCCTGAAATCCTGCTGAATCTTGACGGTGCCCACGCAGTACAATGCCTAGACCTCCAAGCAACACTACCGGACCTCCATCCCATACAGAGCCTCGCCCATATGGACAAAAATTCCCATGGGTTTGTAGGCAATGAAGAAGGCAATCTTGAATTTCGAAATTGTGGCGACGTTTGGGTGTTGCCCGATTGAATTGTTGAATAGTTCAATCCGTTCTAGTTAAAACTACTTTGGGACCTCCACGCTCACTAAGACTAACCACTCGAAGGACTTGGGCAGTCCGCAGAATGATTGGGTGAGTAATTGGATGGCAGACCAATTAACGGTGCTGGCAAGGGCAGGCAAGGACGAGGGGCGGCGACCCCTGAACGGGGGCCGTGGGCAACGGTTTACAGCCGAGCAAAGGGATAACAGGAGTTCTGTCCCCTTATGTCCAGTCTGTTCATCAATGTCCTTAATGCAATTCCTAATGCGTCATCGCTTCTTTATGCGTCCAGCTGTTAGTAATACTCAACCAGTTGTAGCGACAACAGCGCCGTGCATTGCACTCGCGCCAGTTCTCTGCCCAGGGCTGATGGCGCGAACTGAAGCTGACCCTGTGGGCCTGGGAGAGCAGCCGAGGTGTGGGCATGAGGGACACGGCGTCCCGGCCCGCTTGGCACACGACTGCCGAGCTTCCTGTCCTTCCAGACCACCCCTGATGCGCCATCCTCTGCAAAACTGTGCAGGGAACGACGCGGACCGGACTACAACAATTTCGTTCCTCTGATTTACGCCCCGCTCCTTCCGCTCGGTGCGCCCCGTCGCATTGGCCAAGGGTTTGCCTGAACCGGGTAATGTGTCAGTGGAGCCGCTGTGCGAAATTGACGTCGGCATCGCGTCTGCGGACGTTGGGCCCGGGAGAGATCCGGGCAGGTTGCGGTGATGATCGCCCGTGCTGAAATCCGGGACAGCGCGCTTTGGGTGGATCTCCAGCAGGCTGCCATGTTGCCGGACAAGCGACTGCCACCAGAACTGTCAGCTCCGCTGGCCGACCGGGACCTTGCGCACGCCCACGGGTTTGTCATGCCCAGGACATTTGAAGATTCAATGGGTTTATTGATAGCTAGTCACTGATGCATTGGGAGTGGCAGGCTTAAGAATTTCTCACGCATGCCAAGTGTCTGGCAGTCTGTGGTGTAGAGCCACGTGGCCGAGCACCCCGACGCCTGAATTGAGGCAGGGGCTGTGTTTCGCACAGTGCTCAATGTCTGTGTGAGGTACAGCCCACCAACACCACACCCACGCCCCAACCAACCCTATCTTGATTTCTTTTGCACTGCACAGATTTCGCCGAAAGGCATCCAAGCATGCTGGAAACATGTGGACAACCAAACCACCGCACCCTTCACACTATGACAGCGCAGTCCCTGTGCAGCACTGCGTTGTTCATTTCACCAATGCCTTTCTGACGGGGTCCACGTGTGCCTGCACCTGCAGTTCGCATCGGTCTCAACAAACGCGTCTCCCCAGGCACACGGGATAGGATCTTCCTTGGCTGTGTGTTTTTGGCACTGGGCCATGCAGGCTATGTGATGTCTGGGGACTCCACCATGGGGGCTGGCACGTGACACCAGGAACCAGGGAGGGGCAGCCGGGGTGATGAAAAGTGCCCACAGTCTGCAGGATATGGTGCCTGTGTGCACATCGGTGGCCTGACAACTGACAGGCAAACAGTGAAGGCATGGCGAATTGCTTTCAGGGATGGCAGAGAGTGCCCCACGTCCCCACCTCCCCCCATCCCTCATATGCACGAGAGGCTGGACAGTTTATGGCCCGTCAATCATGCCACAAGTGGGCCAAGGGCTTGGAGTCAAGATATTGCTTGAAGATTACAATGCTGCCAAGGCATGCGTTATGGGGCCTTCTGTTGCAACTGTCAGCTTCTGCAAATCTCCACCCGTGCACCTGGTGCTGATTGTTTCATTCTCACTGCCTCGGTGCCATTTTGTTTTGCTGAGCGAGCCTTTCTTCCGACGGCAGTCTGCCTTGACGGCAGGCACAATACAGCAGGTTGGGTGTAACTTGATGGCTGACTGTTTGTCCAACGCGTGCCAAATGAGTGACATTTGCGCCCACCAATCAAAAGGGAAAGCCTGGGAGAGGGCTGTTTCAATCCATAAATCATATGAACAAATCTGAACTGTCTGCACAACCCCTTTGTGGAGTTTCTGGCAGAGAGACCCCATCTTCGGATTGCACAAAACTTTCAGTTGAGCCCATCAGTTAGAGATGCGTGAGTTCCCTCTAGCTCAGGAACACAGGGCCGTTGCCCTGCAACTCAGCAACACAGGGCATGTATGCTCTTGCATTCTTGAGGTGAGTAAAACTGTGGCAAAACCATTCCAAAATGTTAATGTCCTCTGTATGTCAAAGAATGGCTAATTCAACGGCACTTTGTTGTGGACACAAGGTCCAGCGGCGTAGGCCTGGCAGGTATGTGACAGGCTAGCGTGGCTCCAAGCCGCTGGGACACTTGCTGCCACCGAACAACATCCAGACGATTTGAAAAGCTGCTCGGAACTTGTTGGACAACAGACCAACGGACAGCATCGCCCAGTGTAGCCCTGTCTGGGTCAGTAAATGCAAGGTGGTTCCGGACAACCGTCACGTCAGATGTCGTTCCTTGGTTTGTCTGCTGCAGTTGACAACTTTGTCAACTGACAGTCTGTGTTTGTTGCTCACCTACCGAGTGGTTAAGTCGCATGATGGGAAGGAATGTAGATGATGCGACGTGAAGCACAGGAGACAAGCGTAGGAGACTTCTTACGTAAAAAAGTAATCAGACGACAAGGACACATTTCAAAGGCAGCGGCGACATTCTATTGACCTGGAGCACAACCGACGCCCCCCTGCACACAGGCAGAGCAGCACGCACAGCCACACCCGGCACCTCAAGGCCGCAGGTGTCCGCGTTTGGCCATGTCCACCCAAGAAGCGCCGTCAGCTTCGCAGCGCCAACTGTGTGCAAGGTAAGACGTTTTTTTGGGGAGGGTCTGCCCCTCTTGCCGATGCGGCTGGCTCGGATGCCATGCCCAGCTCCCTGTTTGTTCCCCTTGGCGCTCTCTGTGACCTCGGAAAGTTGCCTCATAGCGTCAACGCCGTTTTGCGTTTTCCGGCGCCAGATGCAAGGACCAGGCCAAGCTCCACTGCCCCAAGTGCCTGAATCTGGACCTGCCCAAATTCCTGGGGGCGTTCTGCTCACAGGACTGCTTCAAGGTGCGCGGCGCATCTCGCCTCTTGCGGGACCTGCGGACCTGAAATGTGCGCTCCGGAACTGGGCCCAGAAGCACAGTGCAGAACGCTTCCCGTTTGCAGCTTCCCTCTCTTCAAAATTGCTCCAACCCAACGTTCTTGGTAGAGAGAGACCGTGGGATTTTGTCCCACACGTGATCCACAACGGACCAAGCGAAGTACTTCGTCGAACATCACCCTGTCTTTGACGCAAATTTCAAGTATGGCACACTTGCAATGTACTCCCATGACTCCCTCCTTGTGGCTGCCTTTTCAGCCAGCTTGCTTGCTGATGGATTGAGGGTGCCCAAGGGTCAGGACGTATGACACATGATGCATGTATGTACGACTGCAGGCAGGCTGGTCGGAGCACAAGAAAGTCCACCAGACAAGTGGGGCATGGCTGTACTGCAGGAGGAGGGGACAGGACTTCAGTCCACAGTTCCCTGACTTCAAGTGGACGGGCCCACTGAGACCTGACAGGGTTGGCCCTCCCAGGCTGGTGAGGTTTGGCAGGCTCCTGTTTTGGACAGATGGGCTGCGGCTCTTCATGGCACCTTATAAGGCCAGGGCCACTTTGAGATGCATGGCTCTTTTTAATGACAGGAATAGTTCGCAGCAGGTCTACTGCAGCCAACCAGCAGTGGATGATACGTATGGTTGCTGCCAATGACAGTAGTTAGTGCAGCACAGTAGATATCTGGCTTGCTGTGCTTGTTTCAACACATTTAGCAATAAAGTTCCAGCAAATTTGCAGCATTTGTACGGCATTCTTGTGGGATGATTTTGACAATATGGTGCATGTTGCAGCGATTGCAGCAATGATATGAGGGTAGTTCCAGTACTTGCAGCTGCTAAGCGTGTCCATTGTTTTGTGCCTGTATGGCAGTGTGTCCCTCTACCATAAGGTGCTGCAGATTGCCAACCTCTCTTCTGTTCAGAAATCACCTTAGCAGCAATTGGAGGCTTGCACCAGTGAAGTTGTGACCTGCATTGCATGTTTGGATTCACAGTTTGGGATGAACCCCAACAACTGGTTTTGGGAGTGGTTGTAGTGTTGTAGATTAGCTTCGATTGGGGATGGCCTGTATTGATACCCAATGCAAATGCTGCACATTTGTGCTCCTCAGCTTCTTTGTGGTACCTTGTGCTGTGGGAGGAAAACTGGTGAATTCTGCTTCAGCCACACTTTGCTGACAGTGACCTCATTTCCTTATACAAGTGCGGGGCAAATGTCAGAGTTTCACCAACAAGAACCAAAGGTTGACGTGGACGATGGGAAATCTTGATGACAGATGTGTTTGCTGGATGGGACGTTTGATTGTTGTGTGCAATACAGGGCAGATTCCAGCGGGCATTCAAAGGCCAGATTATTCAGAAAGAGGGATACCAGAGAGTGAGGTTCGAAGCAGGCAGCAAAACACAGGTGCTTGCTGTGCAGCATGGCTTGCGCAAACAGCAGAATGACCCGGCATACATATACACCCATTTGATTGCACTCATGTATCAATTTGATGCCCACCAATAGTCAGTTGGTGTCAAATCCAGATAACTGCTGTTGATGTCTGACGGCTGACTGCATCGTTGTGCATTTCTGCCATGAAGTCCCCGTTTGGAGAGGCAAGGAGCTTGCTGCTTTAAAGAATGCTTGCCGGTAGGTGGATACCTGAATTGGGGCTGATTTTCGAGCACAACATGCCTTGTGGCAGTGCCATGCATTCCTGTCCTGCCGATGGAGAATTCTGGTACAGCGCAACCTCCTGTGTGGACCATCTCTTTGCTTCCCAGATTTTCTCCTGTCTTCAGGCCAAGATCCCCAGGTTGTTGTATGCCAGGCCCTTACACAAACAGTGCTCATGGAATTCTGCATGCACTATATTTGATGACGCAGAAAGATGGCACCCTGCTATTAATTGAACATTTCAGGAGAGATGCACGTTGGTGGCCACTGAATCTGCTGAAAAGGCGGGTTGCAAGGAGTCTGACACCACCTGCGCATATACATGTTCTGGTATTCGTTTCGCATTTTAACAGTTGGCCACAGGTTCCCTGTGCCTGAGATCGTGCTGCCCCAAAGGAGGGAATACACATTGGCAGCAGCAATACAATTTCAAGGCATCATCTAACACTGCCCTGGCACCTTCGATATGGTGGTAGCCTTTTGACATTCGTACTTGCTTCCTTGTGCATCAGTGTCACAACCTTGCTGCAGCCTAAAATCACCTGTTAGGTGCAACAGCAGTGCGTTTTCCTATGAGAACATAATGATAGTTGATTTGGGCTCTTGCACACCAACTGCTGATCGATGGCAGGCCCACCCTGTGGTGGCCTTCTTCAGTACGGCTACTTCTGGTGTTGGCATCAATTGGGTACTGAGAGGGGTTGCTGTGTGCCATCAGACTGGGTCGTGAAGTGCTGGACAAGGCCCATGCTGCTGTTCAGCCAGGCATCACGACCGATGAAATCGACAGAGTGGTAAGGGTGGCATGTGGGCAGGGTCAGCTGCTAGCATATTATCCAACTGGTACTTGAAGTTTTGTTGTTAAGCGTGCGATCTTTGCAACAACAAACTGTCCACTGCCTATGCTGTGTCCAGCATTGGATTGAGCATGAATCAACACGGGAAGTATCAAATTTGTGATGAGACATCGTTTCTTGTACTGTGTAGCATAGGCAAGTTGCCAGAAGTGTTCACAGGAAGTGTGATGCTATCTGACATTTGGCCCAGTTCCCTACCCTCCCAAAGCACTTGTCCGCCTGTGGATGTCGAATGGCAGATTGAAACCAAGGTACATGCCATTTTTATAATTAACGTAGCTGTCTGCCGTGAGTTTTGTCTCGTTGTGGAGTGGCTTGCAAACAAAGCATCGCGTTATCGATGGTGTCATATGCTTGCGGTCGGTCATTGTCTTTTCGATGCTTTGCCTTTTTGGGCTTCCCTTGAGTGTTTGGCTGTTTCTGCTGTTAAGGTGCATGAAGCTACCATTGAGGCTGATGCGTACCCCTCTCCAAGAAATTACTACCACTTTCCGAAGTCTGTTTGCACTTCTGTGAACGAGGTGAGCGTGGCAGCTGAGGTAATGCCAGAACCCTGCTTTTGCTGTTATTGTCTTCAATGGAACCACAGTTCCAGATGTTGCCATACTGCTGGAGTGGTTCGATTCCGGACACTGGCACTGTGTGTTAATATCGGCTTTCCTGTTTTTGCACTCCACACCCAGCATTGCTGATGCCAAATGTGTATGCCTAAATTCAAGCTTGTGGCAGGTCTACTTAAATAGCCTACCAACCTGGTTGTGGTTCACTTTTTGAAGCTGGCTAGCAGTGCACTGAATGGCCCCCTTTCTGAACAAGAATGTTGGAGGGTCTTTTCTCTCTGAGGAGAAGATGCAGACGTTCTGAATTGTTGATCAGACTCATGCCGCCCGATCAACGGTCTTTATCACTCATCGATTCATTCCGAAGTTTGTATGTCAACGCTGCCAAGCGCTAGTGGCACTGGTAATACAGTGGCTGTTCCCAGGCCCCTCTATGTGTGGCTTGTTTGCATCTAGCTTGCGTCCCTCTGCACATGAACCAAGCTGTCTGCACCAGGTTATATGCCACGGCATCCCAGACTGCCGGCCGCTTGAGGACGGCGACATTGTCAACGTTGACGTGACCGTTTACCATAGGGGCTTCCACGGCGACCTCAATGAGACGTTTACCGTTGGTGACGTCAGCGATGAGCACAAGCTGTTGATCAAAGTGGCACATGACTGTCTCGCTCATGCCATAGAGATAGTGAAGCCTGGTACACGGTACAGAGATCTGGGGGAGGTCATACAGAAGCATGCGGCAGCACATGGGTGCGTCTCCAGCAGGAGATTTCATGAGGCATTAGCCTCCCTGATGTTGAATGGCACTCCCTATTTGAGCACATAATTGGCATAAATGATATTTATCAAGAGTTGGCAATGCAGTGCTGTTGCACCTGTTGGGTCTGTTCAGGTACCGCAGGCCCTTTCACGGAAACTCAGATGCAGACCCCGTTGAAATGAAACTGCGCACAGTGTAGTTAGCTACAAGCATTTGATGGTGTGATCTGTAGTTTCAGAAAGAAAATGTCCCTGCCGTCCAGGTATCGCTGGACAGGGTTTGTACTGTTGTGCCAGTAATTCACGCCAATGGGATGTATATTGTTCTGGCAGATTGGCTGACTCTCAGGAGTGCTTGTGCACGATTGTGAACACCAGTGCATATCAGATGTTTACACACAATATGCCACCGTTGTCAATTTTGAGTTTGCATCCAAGGACTGCGGGAAGCATAGCTGTAGCAAGTCAGATAGAAACCGCATGCATTGAAGATGTGGCATTGTTTGTCCGTACAATTTGCACAAATATCTCCTTGAGCTTGAAGAGTTGTTTACCAAGCAGACTGTGTACTCAAAACTTGTGCCATTGTTGCTGGCCCAGTTATCCCTGTACTGCTGGTTGCTGGTCTGTTATTAGACTATGCTCAGGGGCTCATGTGCAAAGAAGCTGCATTGTGGACGCGTGTTATCATTGATGTGCTGAATGGCCTGTGTATGTGCAATATGCATGTCCTTCATCCATCGAGAGTGTGCATCTGCAGTTAAAGAGAATTGGGTTAAACAGGATCTCCATCTACAATTGTTCAAGTTGCGAGAGTTGCTGTGCAAACAGTGGCACACACACACACACACACACACACACACACACAACAGATGTTGGTTCTAGCCCCTCGTTCTCAGTAATAGGACACAATGCATGTTGTTCACGTGGAAGCACTTCACAGTGTATTTTGGTTGCCTTGCACTATGTTGATTTTGTGCTTCTCCTAATTCTGCCGTCTGTGGATGCCCTGGCATTGAGATTCCGTTGCTTGTCTCTTCAGGTTCAGCGTGGTCAAGTCGTACTGTGGGCATGGCATTGGCCGCCTGTTCCACTGTGCCCCAAACGTGCCCCATTACTCGCACAACAAGGCGGTGGGCACCATGAAGGAAGGCCATGTGTTCACAATTGAGCCGATGATCAACGAGGGCATTCACAAGGACGTCACATGGCCTGATTGCTGGACAGCGGCCACTGCGGATGGCAAACGCAGCGCCCAGTTTGAGCACACACTTCTGGTCACACACTCAGGCGTCGAGGTGCTCACAGAAAGGCTGCCAACATCGCCGCTGCTCTGGTGGCAGAAAGATGGCGGCATCATCTCATGAGCGGTGGGCAGGATCAAGGGGTTGCTTGTTTATTGCTAGGGGGAGAAACGTCCTGGGCATTTTGACAGTGGAGAGTTGGCTGGATCATCGACTTGATGCGGTTGTCAATGCCATAGGCGGCCAAACTCTTCGACTTTGAGGGATTTGCAAGGGTGCAGCACGGCGGCTTGTTTGTGTGGCATTTGGTGCAGCTGTCTGCGATGTCTACACCCAAGGCACATTTGTTTCGCATCAGCGTCCACTTGAGATGTGGGTAGTGCCCTTGCCCCACGACTACCCTATTTCATGTGCTGGGAGACAGGCAGGTGTTAACGAAGTTGGATGGCTGGGCATGCGCTTGTCGTGCAGCCAGAAGTCGAGCACTGTACAATATTAAACCCTTCCGCCTAATAACGTAACGCTTGGTCTTTTTTTGCGGAGAAAATATTATAAATAGTAACGCAAATCTTGGCCTTTCTGTGCGGGGCAACGAAAAAAAATAGAAAGAACGCTCTAAAAAGAAAAATGCGGGGCAAAGACCATAACGTTGAAATTTTTTGATGCGGAAGAGTTGAATATTTTACAGTATATGCATCTTCTGGCGCATTACTGACATTTGTGCTTTGGAGTTATGTCGGTTTGTGCTGTTGAGTGTGAATCTCAGAACCAATGGCCCCTCATGGCATTCACACTGCGTTGAAGCAACAACCCATACAGATTTGCCAGGCTGTATATAAAGCTGAAGCGCTCCTGGGATGACTAACGGGGTTTGGAATCCGAGCCTTGGATTGTGGTGCATCGCCGCCAGTTTGTGCACTTGATGAATTCGGTGAATTTGAGTGGTCCAAGCGATACATGCATCCAATAACGCAGCACTGTCGAACAGTGTCACATGCATGCAGTGTGGCATAAGCATGTAGGAGATGCTGAATCTTGTGGAATGCACTCGGAAGCAACGAGAGCCGTTTCCCAAGTCGACAGCGGCGGAATGCTGTGCACTATCCCTTGCGCTGGCCGTAAAAACAAAAGGAGGTTGCAGAAGTTCGCTCCCGGTGGGACTCGAACCCACAACCCCCAGATTAGAAGTCTGGTGCGCTATCCATTGCGCCACGGGAGCGCGCCCAGGCGCCTGTCGCCAAATTTAAATACGCTGTGATTCCTTCGCATTCTTTTCGCTGGCGCATTTCACTTTACAGCATTATCCTATTACAGCAATTATCTCAACAGTAAGTACATTGGCAAGTACACTTTTTCTCCTCAGCGTTGTGCAGCTTGGTTCTTCTGTGAGTTGTTTCCCCAGGCTTCATCACAATTCCCACAAGTTCGATTCCCCCCCCCCCATTCGAATTCCGCATGCCTGTCCAGGGCCACCCGACTTCTCCGCCCACTCCAACCCCAAGTGATATCAGCCATTTTGGTACGAGGTCCCTGCACGCTGAAGTATATTAAGTACAGTGCACCCCGGGGGTTTCCGTGCCGACAGCCTCGCAAGGATGCACAAGTCCCCAGGAGCCAGCCGCAAGCGGAAAAGCTCGGAACTCGGATCCAAGGTGCGCTCCGTCCCACTCGCGAACGGCACCCTTCAGACACCCTTTTGCGGTCCTTGCCGCGCCAGAATTTCACGAAGTTGCCAAATCTTGCGAAGCCAAATTCTTGGATGGGAGACCGCGGCGCGCCGGTGGCGCTTCTCAAGTCCGCGGAGTGGCCGCTCTGTCGCAAGACGCTCTCAGCGCGCCCGTCACATCGGTCGCGTTCTTGCTGATGAGCGCGCGATCGCAAGCGCCGATCGTGGTCGGTGACTGCGGTGCAGCTCGCTGGGGAGGGCGAGGAGTGCCGAGCACTGCAAGCCCCGCACAGGGAAGCGATTCCGGCAATACAGGCGGAGAGATTGGATGCCACACAGTTCTGGGCGGAGTTCGTGTCGCGGAGGAGACCGGTGCGCTGGCAATCCTGTGGGACCCTTGGGCCTGGGAATTGGAGCATTGGTGTGCATGGCCTGGATGCCACGGAAAAGAAAACACTCTGATACCAGCTGCCTGGTGCACCAACATTGCCATGGACCGTGTTGAAGCGCATCGGCAAATGCATCGCCCAAATGCATCATGTGCAGTACTTTGTCAGAAGTCTGAAATTTGATCAGCCTGGAAATTGAAAAAGGTATTGGAGAACACACGCCCAGTCAGATTCCATTTGCGCCACTGATTTCTTTGTGGGCAATTCTCCAGGTGGTCATTAAGGGGCACCCCAAGGACCCCGAATGGAGAGCATCTCAGTTGTGGTCACTGGACTATCTTCGAAGCAAGGCGGTGAGTGGCAGTACAGGTACAAACAATTTGTGTGGAATGATATTTTGAACAGCAGTGTGGTGGCACTTTGTGTACTTTGGTTGCTTGCTCTCTTGGTTCACAGTTTTCAATGCACTTGTAGATGCCAACCTATAGTCCATATAGTTGTCCTGGTTTTGCAACCAATAAATATGCAGCTTCTGTACTCTGCCGATGCTCGACAAGTACTCTTTTATCGACAAGTTTGACTCCAATGAAGTGTCAATCAGCCAAGATCAGGAAGGAGCCTTGCGTTGGAACTGCCAAAACATGGCACCAAGCTACCTGTTTACCTTGCGGGCCCAGAACACAGGCCAGTGCCATGTCTTGTTCATTGCATCGTTGACAACTCAAACATAGATCTGCCATCTCTAATTAGCTCCAGTCCCCCAGAACCAAATACAATAGCAGCACACAGTGGCCAGGGCAGCGGACTGGCAGTGCACATTCATGCTGTGCATTCATGTCAATGCTCAGCAGCAAATGTTGTTCAGTTGCCAGAAGTGCTCATCGTTGCCGAACTCGGAGCAAAGGGCTCATTCTGACCCTGTGCATCCAATGCAATTGAAAACATGCACACTGTTCTTTGCCTTACCCTGCAGGGAGAATGTGTGATCAAGGTGGAATACCGCGCAGACAAGAATGGCAGCTATGGGCAGGGTCGTCGAATCAAGATGACGTTTCGGGAGTTCCTGGACAAGGTCGAAGCTGGGAACGACACCCTCTATTTCACAGCACAACAGGTAGCTGAATGCATGCCTGTCTTCTTGTACCTTGCCAGTGGATCTGTTGTGTCTTGGAGATTGGGCACCATGCATTTTGGAAGTAGTCATGTTCATCGTAGAATATCAGATACATCGCAATATCGTTTGCTCAATGGCAATACATTCCATTGCTGCCGTTTTTCAGCACCCTGTGTAAGCAAGGGTGCATTAATTGGCCCAGTCAGTCAGCAGCATATTGCATAGTGCTTTGTGTGATTAAGCTTTGCAATGCATCTCCTGCACTTGCTTATTTGAGTAAACAAGGAAATAAGAAAGTAAAATGGATGGATACGCAAATAAATAAATAGAATATTAATAATGAATTCATCAATAAACAAATGGCTGCGTATAAAATATGCGTGTGGGTATATGTACACATGCGTACACATTTTCATATGTGTATGCATGTATGCATATTTGCTGGGATCAGTGGGTCCCCAACAATGCAGCACACCCGTTCCCTGCATGAAGTGACACCGCCATTGTTGTTAGACTCACGATAGTTAATATGTACAAGGCTCAAATTCCAGCTACTCATTGCTCATGGCCCCGAGTTCGCTGCTCTCCAGACCTCTGTTGGGGCTGATGGCTTCCTTGAACTCTACGGTGCCCCCTTGACGAGTGTGCCCAACGACTTTGGCTTGACGCCGTCCTTGCTGCCCAACCTCGTTCCGCAGCAAATGAATTTGTGGATTGGGGCAGCGCGAGAAGGTGGGAATCGTTGCGCTGCATGCACGTATTGAAACCATTGCATCCTTGCTTCCACTGGCAAGGGTTGCATTCTATCGTTTGACAAATGGGGGGCTCCCACTTTTCAAGCCTCCACTGCATGCCCAGCATGCACTGCTTCCACCTGTTATTGTACAATGCCTGGCATGTGCTCCCAGCAATACAGAAAGTGGACACTGAAGAACAGGAATCGACTTCGAATGTTGGCTCGCTCTATTGTTTCGCGAATCTGCATCAATTTCTAAGCTCGAAACTGCTTGGGTTTTGTGAACGAAGGGCGTTCTGACCTGAATGAGACGGCTGCAGTATGACAGTGATCAAAAGGCGTTGACCGATCTGGGAATTGCAACTCACTGGCTACTATGGGTGTCGCCATGACTTCATGCACAACGCTGTGTGCTTCCTTGATATACATCGGCAAATTGCCTCCCACGAGACTGGTATTCTCGCACCTGCACAGTCCCTGCCAAGGGACGTGCCCCTGCTCCATGGTCTGGAAGGTTCTTTATGCTTGCGCTGATGCCCTCCTTGTGGCTTTGCGACGTGCAGGGGCCTCAAGCGGCCTGCATCACGACTTCCACGACAATTTGTACATATTGCTGCGCGGCGTCAAGAAGTTTCGACTGTACCCTCCGAGCCTGGCATCACAAATGTACACGAACGGTGCCATCCACAAAATTTATCCAAACGGACGCATTGTGTACGAGGGCCAGGTGAGGGCTTCGCGGAATGCAGGACGGCCTTTCTGCAATCTGTGCCATTGTGGAATCAAGGCAATCAGCGTTACTGATATCTTGCCGGGCCAATGGCGGATTTCCATGAATGGGCACAGCATTGGATTGGCGGGTTGGCTGGCGCAAGGTCCTTTCAATACGCAGGCAGACACGCAATTTTGTCCCCATGCCATACCTGCTTCTTTTGCAGATGCTCGTGGGGATGCGCGCTCTCGTGCACGTCGCACACGCTACTCGTTTTAGGGGAGACTTTATTTTGATTTTTGCGTGCTTAGTGTGAAGTTGACGTTGGGGAGGGGGGGGGCAGCCATTGGCGCTAAGAGATTATGTAATTGCGCTAATATCGAAATAAGGTGGGAAGATACACAAAAACGCAGCTGATCGGTGGCAGATAGCTCATGAATTGCTGCAAAACCTCCTCAAAACTTTCCACCTTCGAGGAAGTCCCAAAAGTGTTCAATTTTCAGGCTTTGGGGCTGCTCCCCTCGCCTATTATGGCTTTTGGCATCGCGTTCTCGAATCACTACAAACGCAGCAATTTCGATCGTTTTTCCCTTAACACCATTTTGAAGTTGTATGGCATTGTTAGGCAATGTCGCTGAGGCATCCTGGAATCGAAATAAGGGTTGATGTTAAGGAGGGGGAGCCTGAGCGTAGCGCCACGTTGACGCTACACAATTCAAAATATTGTCTTCCCTTACTGAAGACTGTGGGTTTTGAGGCTCGGATGTGCGAACCTTCGATCGAAATCCCAGGCATTGAATGCGTTTTTAATACATTAACACATGTGGTTCCATCGCTGTGGCGCGTGAAAATTCGCAAGCACTTCACACATGTCGCTTCAGATCCCGCTCGCCAATTGGCGAGGACACTTTGTTCCCTGTTTTATCATCGACAGACGCTTCTTGATAACAGGGGTTGATGTATTGCGGGCTATGCATATGATGTGCATTATATTTCGATGAACTGATCAGGGATCCTGCTTTGCTCGCGCGAAATAGGAAGCTCGCGGCTACCTCATTCCCTTGTTATGTAAAAATGAATGAAGGCGATGAAAATTCACTGGCGGAATCAGTTTAGAGAATTTTCTTTGATTCCGTTCGCCCCATTGTCAAAATGACAGTCTGTTGCGTTGGCTGTCTGTGGCTGCGGCTCAGGGCGACGTGCTGGCTGACGGATCCGATGCCCAAGATGTGGCGCTGTGGCGGGAACATCAGGAAGCCTGTGCGGCGCTGGCCGCTGAAGAAGATGCCGTTGGGCGCAAGGTGAAGGTTCGCATATGGACGCCACCGGCATTCGTGGGGGAGCCGAGAGCAGCGGAACGTTGTACTGCAGTATATTCAACCCTTCCGCATCAAAAATTTTACCGTTAGGCTTTTTGCCCTGCAGTTTTTTCAAAGCGTTTTTTGCTAGTTTTTACATTACCGCGCGAAAGTTTTATTAAAATAGCGTTGTCTGTCGTATTGTTTTCTCCGCAAACAAGGCCAAGCCATTACGTAATGCGGTACATAGTGTACTATGTAGATGGGTTGAATATTCTACGGTAATGGCTGCATCCCGTTCTTGCACGCATGTGGTGCACGGTTCGTGTATTCTGTCGTGAGCTCTGCTGCAATGTGCGGCACCCATCCGCAGGACAAGACACTGAGCAAATGCAGCAATTCAGCTGCCGCTGTACGTCAGTGTGCGCAACCACAGAAGAAAGCCAGCGCGTTTGCCCTTGAAAGGCGACAGTGTGTGCTAGACGGGCATCCATGCTCCCGAGGAGCGAGCGCATTGACACTGTGCATGTGATTCTCTGTTGATAGCCAACTTGAAGCACAATGTAGGTGGTATGCGGCGTCGTGCAGGGGAGCGAAAAGCGGTTGAAGATGGCCGAAGATCGGCTTGAGGAGACGCTCGAGCACATGCTGGACGGTGTGGCAGAGGACTGGCCTGAAGGCCCTGGGGCAGACTGCAACAGCTCTGATGAAGGCGACGAGGAGGAGGAGGGGGAGGAGGCAGGTAAGAGCAGCGCGCAGGCGACGCTGGCACAAACATTTGTGTACCGAAGTTTGGCAGCGACTTGGAGATCTGGTTTCTGATGTGCAGACAACTTTCTATGCTAGCACCCCTTCTGCACTGATGCCGCGCCTCCGATGCAATCGATACTGTAGTGTAGCTGCTGATGAAAGGCGCTCTGTTTGTTTGTTTTCTCGTCTCTGTGCATAGACTGCGCTCGCAGTATCGTGCCAATCAGCCGGTCAGCCTTTCCCCGAGGTGAAGGCACCGTGGACATTTCCTTGAGCAGGCGAACATGGCTTCCAGTTCCATGTTCATGAGCCATTGCCGATTGTGTCCTTGTCTTTGATATTGTGGCTGAGCTTCTTGCGGTTGGCTCATCGATTGCCATGGCGAAGACAGGGCTGAAGTGTGCGTCCTGTTCGAGTTCCTGCATAATGGCCAGTCATTACATTGGTCACTTATGCTAAACGGGTACTCGATAGGAAAGGAGAGAACACAACAGCAAATGGTAAACAAGGGAATCGAAAAAGATGCCAAACGATTTTGTCACCTTCCTTGACTCTACAACCAGAACCTTAGAGTTGGCTAATTACCACCATTTGAACTGCTTTGTCTCGCCGCGCCTCAAGGTATCTCATGATGTGTCTTTTCTTGTTTCAAAGCCAATCGGTCTGTGTCATCCCTGGAGTCTACTGCCCTAGCAACTCCTCAGTGCCGACAGGTATTCTGAGATTCACGTCAATGAGCCAGTGGTCAACTTCCGTTTGTAGCTGACGAACAGCCAGGATTCCATATTGATCAGGGCGAGCTATAACTAGCGGCGAAGAAGCCTTTCGAGGTCAGCCAACCTGATCTCGGGGTGCAAAGCCATTGCTGCACCAAGCTCGACTCGACAAGCCCCCAGCCAGCCACAGTGGTATCCAGCCGTGGCAAGTAACTGATGGACCTTAGTCCAAGAAGAGGGTATCTTCTTGTCATGGACTTGATCATCTTGCTGATGGTGCAGTGGATTCCTCATAAGTCTAGAAGATGTGTCGACAGCTAGCAGATCGTCTGAGCCATTACACGTGCAATGGCAGTTGCCATTTCACATCCTTTCTGATTCCTTGGTTTATCATTTGCTGTTGTGTTCTCTCCTTGTCCTCTTGAGTGCCCGTTTAGTGTAAGTGATCAATTTAATGACTGTTAACTATTCAGCAACTCGAACAGTCCACATGTCACATGAAGGGAGGATTCATCATTCAAGAGGGATAGCATTGTTCTGATCCAAGGGCAATAAAATATTTGTCGATTTACTTCACCTGTGCACCGACACTACGCCGTGAAGACATCATCGCATCGTATTCAATTCGTTCGGCAGTACCCAATAGCCCCCCAGAAAGCGAGAGACGAGCTAACACTGTCTTGCCGTGCATGAGCAGACATTCTCGAGGATGGCACTGAACCCGACAGCTTCAGCAAGGTGGACTTGTCTCTCCCCTATGACCGCATCCGCGAGAAATTTCCTCAGTTTCCTGATCAATCCTCGATGCTTGAATGCGAAGTTCACCGTGGGGAGATGCTATTCCTACCAGCAGGTGAGCACCGCCGGGCATGGCTGCTTCTTGGTGTCTGCGGCTGCTGCCAATTCAGGGCGCATGCCGGAACTCGACGATTGCCCCCCTTTTGACAAAGGGAAACGACCGTGGAACGGGGAGTTCTCTCGTATGCAAGAATTGCGAAGTGAGGCTCTCTTCTGCACCACGAAATTGATGCAGAAATTCAGGTATGGCAATTTGTGTAAACGTATGGCAATTAATGGGCAGTTCTCAAGACGACAGCTCGTAGCTGAGAACGGCAGGGAGACCAAGAAAACATGCAGTTGGGCGGGGAGTTTGGGGGGGTGTGAAGGGGTCCAAGAAAAATGATAGCCGTGCGCACAGGGCAAGGGATCCGTGTGGCTGATGCCGAAACTGAGAGTTGATTTCTTGCAGGATGGTTCCATGACGTGACGTCCGTTGGGGATGGCGAATCCGGATGGCACATGGCGTTTAACTACTGGTTTTACCCGCCTGACAACTTGGAGCCATCGCGGTCTGGCTTCTCAGCCCCGTACGCATCCGGGTACTGGCCCAGCGTGTGGAAGGAACGGGCACACCAGGCAGATGGTCGTCAATGTGGCGGGCATGATGTCAGCACAGCGTCATTGGCTTAGTGAGCGCAGCGGGGCTGCAACTGCTGCGCGAGCGCCCGAGAGTGGTGAACGGGCCTATTTAGGAGCAGGGCTCTGCAGCGGTCGTGCAGCCAGGGGCGCGGGAACGTCAGAGGACGCTGCGCTGCGCTCGACCCCAGACCAAGTGCGTCACTGTGTGAGGGGTGTTGTGGGCGATTCGGATGCAGTCAGTGCACAACGCCACGCGATGGAAGCCCGTGCGCTTGAGGCGCTCCGCCGCCCTGCATCAGTGAAGTGGCCCGTGTAGACAAATTGTTTGTTTTACTAATATTTTATAGTAGTATTTTACTTTTGGTAAGAGCTTGGCTGCAACTGCAAACTGGGGTGATGCCTGCCGTCCGAAGTGGTCTATCGCACGGGCGGCATGGGGACGGTGGTGATGTGTGTGAACATGCTCACGGGCCCTCAGGGCAGTTGGGAGCGTGGCTGTCGGCAGCGCCGTCCTCACGAGTCCCTTGCACGCCCCATGGCAGTCTTTCAGCATGTGCAGCCAGACGGACATCTCTTCTTCTGTGGGAGGCAATCTATAAGCCCAGGTGCTTGAAAATATTGTCAACGCTTGCTGTTCATCGTTTTGTCGGTCGGCCTTAAAACCGGCGCATTATTACCATGCCCGACAACGATATCAGCAAAGGACTGGCTATCTGGCAAGCCTGCAGCGACCATCTATTTGAGTACCAGAATGCCAGGCACGATGGCGGACAGGCTCGATAGCGATCAACGGGAGAACAAGAGTCCTCACAAGGGCCTATGAGAGTCCCTCCCTCTGTGTTCGAAAGCACGTAAATGGCATACAACAGCAGGCAGTGCGGTGCGGAACATTGCCACAACATGTCCTATCAAAGATGCTGCAGCATCGTGCTAACAGTATTTGGCAATTTGTTACAGGGGCAATCCAGCGAGCTCAAGCACATTGACATCGGTCGCTCCAGGGACCTCAAGTCAACTGAAAGACCGCTTGCACAAAGGCAGAACCAATCAGGAAGCTGGCGATTGCGATACTCGCAGGCCATGCTTTGGGTCCCGGCCACTCCATCGGATCGTCCTCTGCAAATAAGAAACAATTCCCCTTGGCATAGACATATTGACACAGGACAAGAACAGAGCAAACAAACATCCCCAAAATAGCACACAACAGCTGCTACGTACTATATGTCACACACATACGCATACACCGCCGTATAATCTCATGGGCCTGTGTCCCGTTCATGACGACAGCATCGCAGCATGATACGTGGGCAGCAGACATGCCCATGCCTCATGAACAACCCATTGAACACGCAACCATTGAAATGTTACCAGGCACAAATGGATGTGCAACATACTTCCATAGGCAACGCAGAGCATGGCTTGCGCTGCAACACAAATTCGATGCGCTTCCCACTTCCTACTTGCAGCAGCAACAGAGAAGACAGGAATTTGCAGTGGGCGCAAGCAGTTCTTGATGTGTTCGGTGCACGTCTCAAAGCAAAAAGGAGGTGAGAACATCAGGCCAATGAAGCACGTGGCATTGAGCAGTGCCAGTGGGGCAATTTCTGTAAAATTGACAGAGTCTGGCATGAGTTTCAGGACTGGCTGAGGCCAGGAGGGTGTGCATTACCGACGCTGTTGAACCTGTTGTAGGCAACAACCATAATAAACCCAGCGGAGGTTGCGCCGGCTATGCTGCCCAACACCTCCAGCAGGGCGATTTGTGTGTTTAGCAGCCCAGTCGCCTGCAGAGAAAATGGACACAGCGAGTCACAAGTGGCTGGAAACAAAGTGCCACCAGGGTGAGCGTTGTGCACAGTCGAGGGCAGCCGACCTCTGCAGATTTGGAGTCCTGCCAGACGTCTTTCCAACCGAGGTTGGTTTCCAAAATTTTGGGTTTGTTCTGTCGGAATTAGGGCCTCTTTGGCCAAAGTATGTGTTTTGCGAACCATGATGTTCACGTCATACAGGGATGCGGATCTCCAGCAGAGTCAAAACAAACAAGGCACCGCCCACTGACCTAATTGGCAAAGTTGGACATTATTTGAAGCTAGTCTGAACAGTGTAATTGGTAAAAACATCGAAATGGGCAATGCTACAATGGAACACTTACCACCACCAGCCCGGCAGTAGATATGCCAAGTGGTAGGATCTCGGGACGTCCGCCCGCACCCTCGGCAAGTTGAGTCCTGCTCCAAACATAAATTGTCCATTACCTTCTGCATTCCCGTATCTGTGTGTCTTGCTGCAAACCAAAGAGTGGGCCGCCACATAATAATCAAGGGACAACTGCACAGCATCACACAGCAGCAACCCAACAAATTAAGCTTTCCATTGCAAATAGGAACAGTGCATGGGAGACAATTTTCCGTTGGGTGCAATGTTGGTACTGACATGTCAAGATTCTAAACTGATTGGTACAGATATATTCACAACTTGTGAATCACAAGCATCAACAACATTATGCCACAATGGGCTGTTGCAGCCGGCTTCTGATGCTGATGTCCAAGCCTGCTGGTGTCAGCACACTGCCTGTTCACCTTGTGTAGACTCCCTCTGCCCATAGCAGCACTCCTGATAGGACATGCAAAAGCTCAGATATCAATCCCAGTGGGCAGGATTGCAAACTCTTTGAACACAGCATATAGCATATGTACGAAGCCTATGCAGCATCTTTTGCACATACATGAACTGAATGTTGCAGACGAAACACATCTTGAAACAGGCAAAGTGTGATCCGAGGTGAGATCATGGCAATGTGCCCAGTAGTCGGATAACTGTGGCATCAGATGTCTGATTTCCATTGAATGCATGTGTTTTGTATCGTTTGCTGGGCCCAATCCATTTGCCTTATGCGCATGCATCAGGGCAGCATTATGAGAAGCTGCACTTCATAATCAAAGGCACATATTTTTCACAATGGAATCCTGCAAGTACACAAAAAATTGCACCGAAAACTGCCAGCCTGTTCCCATGCCACAGTTGTTGCAAAGCAAGTGGCAATTGAAGCCAGCTGTTGCCTGCCAAGAACATGTTGAGGCAGGTTTGGGGATGCAGACCCAGGCTTAGGGGTGGGGATTCGAGGCTTCGATTTGAAGGCAGAAACAGCAAACTCGAAGGGCTGCCTTTCCTGTGACTAAGGATGCAATTGCATGCAAATCGCCAATGCCAATGCCCCACCAGCATTAGCCCAATAAAATCCATTTGTGCTGCAGGCCAAAGTCAGACAATGCCGCATCCGGCACGTAACTGCTTCGATCAGGCCGTGCGCGGCAATGATTGCCTCAAACATGGAGGGCAGTGCGCCATCACCTCTCCACAAATGCAATTAAGGATTGCGAGCCAATCAAAGGACTGCATCGAACACAACGCACTCTGAGTTGCGGACTCCAGAGCGGCCAACACCCACCGAATCCGATCGCCTGCTGCGAGACCGCCAGGGCCACCCCTTCCGCAAGAGCCGCCTGCCGACACCCCGATGTCAGCCTCCACCGCTGGCAGACGATGGCCCCGGCCTTTCACCCATTCCCAAAACAAGAGCAGCGCAGAAAGCTGGCGGGTCACAGGCTGCGGGGCATGGGACGATCGTACCTCCTCAGGCACAGGGATCACATACTTTGGTGGTCGTCATCCGCCTGCTCCCGCACCGGCGCCTGGGAGCAGTGTGTCTTGCCGGCAGCCCGAAACGCCGCGATCCGGTGCCCAGAGGGCCCGGCAGCCCGCGGGCGCGGCCGCTTGTGCCGGCTCCAGTCCCGTTGGAGGGCCCAAGCGTCGCGGCCATGATGCCCCCAGGAAGATACTGCAGCGAGTGGGTGTTGTCGGGACTGCTGTTGGTCGCCACCACTTGATCCAGAAGTAGGGAGATGGTCATATTCTGTGCCGAAACTGAAGGTTAAAACCTTTGGTTTTGCAAAAAATCTTGCATTGGTGGGGATTTTTCTCAGTATCTTCGTCCAATGGAGGTGGTGAGCACAGGCGTCAGGTGGCCCCACGCTTTGACTAAGTTTCATTCCCGCAGACAGGGATGGCAGCTTACCTGCCGACTCCGCTGAGTGGCCAGGTTTAGGTGTTGATCTCTTCGCACACAACTAAGGGTTCTGCTCAAGAGTCCCGTGTGCCCCGCTGCCCACCATTGATATTGCTCACTATCGGACTTTTCTGAAAATCTCTTTCATCATCTTCCAGTGACCAAAATCAATACCAGGCTCATATGCGAAGGAAAATTTTCAAAGCACAACGAGAAACGGGAGAGAAACAGCCACCCCGTCCTGCACGCGATATTCAGACTTGCAACTTTCCTGGATGCAAGACCAGACGTTGTCTGGCGCGCAGCAGGGAAACTTTGTGACAGTGAATCTGAGAGTATCCGAGTCGCCACAGATGTAGCCCAATCACATGAAACTTACAACAAGTTTGCGAAGTTGGCATGTCCTAATGCTCCAGACGTCAGAAGTACCCAGCGGCGGATTCTCGTTCCATCACCCAATCCCACCAAATCACCAGCTCGACATATTTCCTGCCTCGCCAGAGATTTCTGGTCATGTCTGTCGCATCGATCCTATATGGAAGCCAAACCCCACACAAAAATCAGTCCGTGCTACTCGCCATTGAACTGTGATATTGACAGGAATCAGTCCTGGCAGTAAGGCAAAGATGCAACAGTGCTGTTACGTCCAGCCCGTCTGGTCTCGATGTGCTCAAGCGCACGATCCATCGCCATTTGGACAAAACGCTTCTCTCAACTAGACTATCAATGGCGCTGTTCTGTCGACACGTACGGCGGTTTGATGCATCCAACATGTATCCACAGTGTTGATTCCACACGCACGAGTGTGCGAAGTTCCACAGTATCCAAAAAAAGCTCTTGACTGCACGACTGCCCTGGCGGCATACTGAGGTCAACCCACCCAGCGAGAGGTGCTTGAGGTCCGTCAGCAGCCACAGACGCACAAATGGCCCGCAAAATGATGGGCACAACTTGCTGAATCGAGCAGCCATGACCCCTGCAGGCATCGGTTTCCCTGCAGCCGCGATCACAGGTGAACGTTGATCAGGGCGAACCTAACGCGTGGCGACGGTGGCAATAAGGTTTTGATGGCTGCCCATTCTGGCTAATGTCAAATGTCAGCTGGGATCTGTTGATTGGAGGCCTCCCGGGTGAGCTTGGTGAATATATCGCTTGGTATCGGAATCGGAATGTTATTCATATGTGAGTCTGAGTACGCTTGACTTCTCATACCAGTTTATTAGTAGAACTTTGTTGTCACGCGTGACCTTGCAAGCTCCGTTTCATCAATGTGCGTATTACATTGAAAACAATGCTGTGGCACATATCCTCAGAAGTGGATGTCACATTCACCACGCTTGTCAGCCTCCACACTTCTCGAAATGCCAGCTTATCAAGATTTCATGCAGCAACATCTCAGGACTGTTTTCTTGCAAGCATGAAAACAGGCTGAACATGGCTGCCCAATCGATAAAGACACATGGACAGCGCTGAAAGTGTTTGGCATGAACAGCAGTCCAAGCATTGCCACATGAGAAAGAAATGTTGAGCAGAGCTGAGCGAGCACCGATCGTGTCTCGATAGCCTCATGGTGTGCCAACCACAGATGCGCCTCAAATCTCTGCAAGCACGGTCGTTGTGCGCCACCTTAATCAAGTCTACTGTATAGAACTTGATTAATCAAGTTTACGGTGTAGAGGCTTGTTCGACGCTGTCAGCGCCAACCTCAAACTAGCAATGGCTCGTGGCCACGGTTCTTGCCTCCAACAATTGAACACACCCTTCCAACATTTTACACGGCTAAGTCAATCTTGCTCGTGGCTGCTTTCCCATTGCCATGTAGTTACACTGTTCATCATTGCACAATCAGACCGACATATAGTGGCCCCAGAGTGCCCAGTCTTGAAGTCGGCCAGCGATAGAATCGTCACACTAAACATCTGCGCTTGATGGCACATGCACCAACTACCACCCTCCCATGGACATGGCATTGCTACTGTGCGAGTTTTGCTTGTTTCCTCAGCTCCAAGCTTCCAGCTCAAACTAGCCCAGGATCCAGGTAATCTGATCAAAACAGAAGCTACACCAAGCCCCCAACTGAAATACCAGACTGAACCCTTTGGCGTCACTCAGAGCCACTTCTCAGAAACCCTTGCAACTGTCGCACTGGCACATATCTGTGTTGTACAGCAATGGCCTCAGAAATGATACAGGTGGGATGAGGTCCCGACATCACTGGAAACAAACCATGGTCAAAATCATTTTCGCAAGTTTCAAGATCGCATGCTGGTTGCTGAGGAGCCTCCAAACACTTTGCCACTTCCCCTATTTGCTCAAGCTGATCGACATTGGTCAGTGCCATCGCACATTGCATAGGAGCCATTGGGCTATTCTAGGTGGCAAGTAGGCGGGTGATCGAGTCTGTGGTGGCCCTCAGGACCACAGCACAACCAGACCCAAGCACACCGACAGGGTGAAAATGACAACGGCACACAGAGGGACAGGTGCCATGCAGAATGGACGGATAGCCCGACACAATGTTGAACATTGGCATGGCTTCAGTGACGGCCTTGGATTGCAGCAGAATTTGCAAAATGGCATCCCAGGATGCAGGTGGTGGACAGCACATACTACAGACACCACAGGAAGGGTTTCCCAGCATCCCTTCACTGGCTTCCTGCACGGGAATCGCATCCATGCCCCCCTGCACAAGCAGCTTATGCAGCAAAAAAGCAAAGCCATGGCTCTGCCAGCCCTTCCTTGGTTCCAATTCCCTGCCTCGCCTTCAAGCAAGATGGGACTGATGTCCAAAGAGTCACTCCTCGCCACGGAATCTGTCATTTGCCCTTCGAGCTCTGTTAAGGCAAGATGACAGGTACCAGCTTGTTCCTTCATAATCCAGGTTGCTCTCCATCCTCCCTAACTCCTCCTTCACGGCTGCCATCTGTGCAGCACTCAAAAACTGCACTGCCCCTGACGAGAAGCCCACCCGAGCTGCGGACAATGCTGCCTCTGGGTCATCCCCCACCCTCGCCACTGCCTGCAGTTCCCTCCACTGCAATGGGTTCACGTCACAGGCAAAGGGATTGACAAATAGCTCCGTGGCAGGCTCCCCAGCCTTGTCAAATGGGTCCAGGGCGGGGGCCTCCACCTCTGGCAACCAATCCTCATCAGGAGCATTCATGAGGTGCTCATACGCTGCATTGAGGGCAGCAGCCTCCTCTGTGGTGTCCTTTTTGGGGTTGACGTCTGGGTGGAGGTGTTTCATCTTGGCAAGGTATGCTTGGCGCACCTGTTACACGAAGAGACTTCCAATCTTAATTTTTATTTTTAATTTGCCTTTCAGCCTGCCAACCACACTTGTGCCAAGTATCAACATACCCGCGCGAATACCAGGAGTGCCAACAACACATTACATCTTTCAGCACTAAACACCTTGTCTGAAATGAGAATGAGAAAATGAGTGTGTCCTTGTGAGCACCGCAGAAACGACACACAGGTGACTGCACATCGTACTCTTGACAGTGCATAAGGATGACACAGAAACCTGCGCAATCCCATGTCATAAGAGCAAACAAGATAAAGTGGGGTTCAAAGATGATGAAATAAGCTCCCATCACCTAGATAACGCTGCTGAATTTGCATCAAACACTAGAAGGTGAGAGACGGGAGTATGCGGCAGGGGCAACCGGCAGTGTGCTCCTGTCTGCGCAGGCATCCATGTCACCTTCCACCATATGCTAGACAGCATCAAACAAGGTTCCCCAGCAAGTGGTGCCTGCAGTGTAAAACTGTTGCACATCCGGTGGACCTCTTTTCAGTGTGCAAACCAGCTTACTTTCTTTTTCGAGATGGGGAGCCAACAGCAGGAAATGTTCTATCTTCTCTAGAGTCTTCTGCCACATTTTCAAACGCAGACTGCTTCTGCTAATCACTCCCGTTGGGTTGTGTATAAACTCTTCCCAATATGTACAGCACGTCAAGTGTCAACTAATATCAACAATTTTGCTCGAAAGAGGTGCCAAATGTGGGGCAGGTTCGCTTCCCGTCTTCCAGGACGCAAACTTAGGGACGGGCCACCTATTCCATAACACCGCTCTTTCCCACGAAAGACAGTCCACGATTTGCAGGTGAGCACTCATGTACAGTACACATTGCCAGATGAACACACCCCTCCCTGCAATTATCGTCCCCTTTCGCACCTCCTCCCTGCTGCTCCCGCGCGGTAACTCCAGCAGGTCGAAAGGGCCGACAGTGGCGCGACACGCGGTGAAGGCATGCCGAGGGCCCACCGAGCCCGGCGCACGGCCAGGCGCCCATCCTGCTGGCCACCGGCACGTGGGCGACGGCCGACGGCCATGACAAAGGGACGTCCCGGAATTCATGTGACGGTTGAGGCTCATGCTCACAGCCGGGCGTGCTGTGTGTGTGCGGGGCACCGGCGGGCACGTTCAGGGGCGGTTGGAGGAGTGTCTGGGAGCCGGGGGTTGAGCGCCCCGGCGTCTGGGACAGTCAACGACCGGTGCGCTTGGGGTGGGAGGGGTAGGATCTTCCGGTGACAGCAGACGCAACCTGCTGTCATCAGTCGCGCACAACCGCCAATGGGTGGCATACAGTGTTGCAGTCTTGCTGCCGAAATCGTGAGCCTGCGGGTTTCGAACGACGTCTCTTCAGTCGTCAATGCACCCTGCCCAACCACACCACATCACACACCACACCAAAACCAGAACCAGAACCAAACTAGTGAACCTGGAGAACAGAGCTTCGGGAAAAGTGCCACGCCGCCGATGTAAAATGCCAGTCGGTTGTGTGTCCAGTGAGCTCAGACACTTGTAAGGCCAACCTTGACGCAACATACGCTTTTGCACCATGAAACATTCAAACACTGTGGAGCTCCTCCAAGAGCGAAGGTTTTCTGAGACTCTCCCAACATTTGCAGGTGGTGCATTTTTCTCTTCAGGCAATTTGAAAGCAGCCACCCAACATTCCAACTGTTCCTGCAGAAACCCTATACAGATTTGGCCGCACGAGTGGAAGAGTGAATTCTCAACAGCCGAACGCAATGCACGGCATCTGGAGCAAGTTTTTGGGCATCGGTACACAATAGATTTTTTTCTCGTGAAGGGATTCACCTCTGTTGCCGGAGCATAGAAAATGTCGATGACGGCATTCATGAGATCATCATCAAAATCCGTCAATTACATTTGCCATACACTGACTTGTCATGACTTGTGTTTTGTAAAGCACAACCCTTGCACCTGAGAGGCGATGGTGGGCGCGAAAGCCAAGCGGAGAGCTTGTGAGATGGCACAACATTGCAAATGCACAACAATCTGACCGTCACTGCTGAAGCTTGCAACCACAGAAGTGAACGTCAGAGGGAAGTGCAAGATCCCAACTATGTTTTCATTCGCGGTATCCAACTCCAATCAAATAATATCGCTTCAATGAAGGGCATGAAGAGCATTAAGGGCTGAATTTCGTTGCATTAACCAAGCAAACTGAATTGTGCAACGGCCCGCTAAAGTTCTGGACAATTGACTCACTTACATATACATGAGTTTTCCGCAAGGCGCGATGCAGCTACGTCGCAGATTTTTACAGCACCGTTCCGAGCGGGTAGACTCCTAGATTTTTTTGCAGCTGCCAAGATGGCTGATCTGGTAGCTTGCTTCTTGGCCTTGCCAATGTGGTGGCCTGGGCGCCAATGGCCAGGAGTCAAGCGCCATATCACCTACAAGGTGCAAGCTCGGTGTTGGACATGGCAAGGGCATTTTTCATACCCATTTAGTTGCAAGCACAGTCAAATGATTCAAGCTGGCACAACCATTAAACGCGAATCTTTGCTCTCTGAAACTCGTGCACAGAATCCAGCGCATCCCTTGGCCCACGTTCTAACGCAACCTGCGGACGGGAGGGACCAAGCCGCCAAGGAACAGCGTAGCTGGAAACGTATTGTGGCTACCAGGACTGCTTAGTGTGCCTGCTGTATCCACAGCGCATACCCGTGTTGACAATCACCCTAATTGGAAATTCATTAACGAATCGTAATCACATTGGTGGAGTGCAGATCCATAATGAAGATGGGACGCATATAGTTGCGTGATTGAAAGGAAACCTAGAGAACTGATGCGTGCCGTGGGATATGCAGACTTCTATTGCAAGAAGGGGCTGGGCGTGATTATCGGCCATGTTCTCGCGGCAAAGGGTGGTGCCAATTCTGGCACTTGATATTCTTGCAGGTGGGACTTCAGAAAGCGAGGATACGGGGTGCGATGGTGGTTCGAGTGTGGCGTTTTGTGAAGTACCTCTGTGGAAATTGATACTTATTTATTAATGCATCTGTATAGTCTTCGGGTCTTTATCAGTACGCAGGCTTAGACTTACGTTTACGTTTACGTTTTCACTTTTACGCTTTTACGCGTAAAACGTAAATTTGCAGAAGGGCCTAATTTTGCGGCTATTTTTACGTTTTCATGGCCTCCTGGGACGCCCATATTACACGATGAAAACTACGTACAATGATCAGTCCTCCGCCATATCTAGAACCCGCAACACAGTGTCCACCTCGCCCTTGGCAAGGGCGATGATGGTGTTTAGAAGAAACTCGTTTTGTGCCCCTTCCAGGGCGTCTGTCTGCCACTCTCCGGACTCCGTAAGTCTGTTTGTACTGTCCTTATGTGCACCGGGCAGTTTTTACGTTGTATTTACGTATTTTTGCGCATTTTTATGCGTAAAAACGTAAGAACTGTTTTTGCGCGTGAAAACATAAATAAGGTCAGCTTTGCCGGCGCAAAAACAAAGCCTGTCAATACGGTAAATGTATCTATAGAAGATGAACGTGGGTGTGGGAAGACGTGTGATGCCCGGGCGTGATTGGAGCTAATATGATGAACTTATGGAGATGTGCCGGATGATTGTTTTCAATGACCTGCCACTTGTGGCGATGTGCCGGAAGATTACATGACGTGATGTGCCATTTTGAAGACGCGCCGTAGCATTGAAGATGACCAGTTGACGTGCCGTAGCCTTGAAGGTGATCATATGACCTGCCGTGGCCTTGATAGTGCACCGTGGGGATTATCCCTGGCGATAAGGCGTGATGAACGGCCGCGCCCCCTTTTGACGACCAGTTGCGCCCCTTTTATTGGGGCACATGCTGAGGGAGGCGCTGCGACGCACAGGGCCTGGCCGTTGCCACAAGGCGACGGTGATTACCCCAAGTACCTGACGGTTGCCATGGCGGCGGCCGTTACCGTGGCGGCCACCACGGTTGTCATGGTGGAGATGGCCGTTGCCACGGGGCAGCCACGGTTGCCCAGGGTGGGGGCTGGCGATTACCCTGATGCGGCGTGGTGGCCCAGGAATTGGCATAGTGGGGTGGCGGGGACGGCGGCTACGGGTAATGATGCGAATAACCACGGGGACTCTTGTTGTAGGTGCTGAATGGCTTAAGTACTGGCTAGGGTACTGGAACGCGAGTGGCCTGGGGAGCCATTTCGGTACATGAGATACATTTTTGGTACAGTGTTTGGCGGGTAGCGGTGCTAGGGCAGTGGATCGTGGCACGTTTGAACCGCCAAGTACGGGACGCCGTTACCCGGACTTAGAGTGCTGAGGGAAGCGTTGATAATTGATGTGACGGAACGGAGTGCACACATAAGTGCGTGGAAACGGTACCACAGGGACTGCGGCGACGGGGCACTCAGCAGGAACATGTATGTGAGACATGTGGGGTACTGTCTGTTGGGGTTTCCTGGTAACGTTACCCTGTTGGGAAACGGGAGCCGCTCTTGGAGGATACTGTACAATGCTAAACCCTTCTGCATAGTAACGTAACGCTTGGACTTTTTTTGCAGAGATAGTATTCTTGATAGTTACGCAAATCTTCGTCTTTCTGTGCGGGGCAACATAAAAGAATAGAAGTAACGCTCTGAAAAGCAAAATGCGGCGCAAAAATCGTAACGCTGAGCTTTTCTGATGCGGAAGGGTTGAATATTTTGCAGTATCTGGACGTATGGATTCACTTGTAACGAACGCTGGTTTTGGTCCCACCCTGGTGTTTCTCTGTGCATACTCTGGGATGTGGCCCCGCTTGCCGATTACAATGCCGCACTGATGTCGCCTACCGAAGGCGCATCTTCGCCATCGAGTTCAGCTCGATCGGGCGAGTGCTTGGATTTGTGCGTGATGTAAAGTACGGCGGTCCATTCTGGCCGTCATTCCAGGGATAGAACAGTCAAATCATCCCTGAACGGGCAGCTGAGCCACCTCGGCAGTCTCAGCACCACGTCAGTTGAGGGTGCAATCAACGAAAAAGGTTTGCCCGTCACGCGAACTGGCTCTTCGCGAAGAATTGCTTGTCACGATGATGTCAACGACCAAGAAACGCAGAGACGGCAAGGGAAGTTTTAGACGAGCGGCAAACATCCAATTGACGGTCAAATATGAAAACGCACTTGGAGGACCTCTCAGAACTGCCCCCCGAGCGCCACAATCGGTCGCAGCCAATCCTGAAAGGTCAGCGAGGTCAGGTCATGGGTCAGCCCCACAGGTCGGGGCAGCCTCGTCCACAGTGTAGCGATACAATACACGAAAGATGCTTCTTTCCCCCTTGGCAAGGCTGTGCAGCGATGAATGCTGGTCACTTTCGGCCAGCAGCACGACCGTGCTGGCAGTGCTGGCCTTGAACGGCAAGGAAAGCGCTCAGAAACGGCACAGAATAACCGCGACCTTCGAAAAGGTCGAGCGTTATTGTGCTCAGGCCGTGGCGAACGTTGCGCACACGGCCGGGGAAGTCAGGCAGCCAGGCTGAGTGCCTAGACCGCCGCGAGAGGCACACGCGAAGGCCACGCAACCGTTCTTGCAGCTGCCAGGCCGAGTGCAACAATACAGAGTTCCCTGCAGCTTTCCCCGCGCTCCCAGTACTTGTACCACCCCAAGCTCTGTCAAATACCCCCCATTCCTCAGAGATGCTCTTTTGGTACCTGGAATTTTTCTGCCACGCCCGCTGCTTCACCGCAACTCAACCCGGCACGCCCTACTGCTTTCGATCAGCCATCACGCAATGCCCCAAGGGCCATAATCCCATCAAACAGCCACATTTTCAGTTCTTCTGCCTGAGGCAGATGTATTTTACGTGGTTCTATCAGGTCTGGCAGCCCAATAGTAATGCGACCTGCCACGCATGCAAACATCAGGAATTTGGTCATGAATTTGTTCATGAAAATTATGAACTTTTGTTGCTGATGCGCTGGGTGAGTGTTTCAGTCTTTCAATTCGATCAAGAAATATCACTTGGCCGATTTGCGGCGTGGCTGTGACCAGGCTTGGTTTTTACGTTTACGTTTACGTTTTTACTTTTACGTTTTTACGCGTAAAAACGTAAATTTGCAAAAGGCCC